TAAGCAAAACAAATGTATCCAATTTAGGCAGCATCATATTCTCATGAACATTAGAATCATTACCAAGAAACGAAAGTACCTGGTAATTTAGTTGGCGTGCACGAGCTCTAGTAATTGGTCCAGTATGTATAGCAGAAGGGGCTGTGGGTGTAACAATTGTATTGATGTCCTCATCATCCTCCCCTTCTTGAAATGAAGTCGTCCTCGACGGAAGTTCATCTTCCTCACCCAAATAAGGCTTCAAATCTGCAATGTTAAAAGTGGGACTAACCCCAAAATCTGCAGGCAGCTCAAGTTTATATGCATTATCATTTATTTTCTCTAACACCTTAAAGGGACCATCAGCACGTGGCATTAGCTTTGATTTGCGCAAATCAGGAAATCTATCCTTACGCAAATGTAACCAAACAAGATCTCCAGGTGCAAACACAACATGTTTTCTACCCTTATCTCCAGCAAGTTTATATTTAGCATTCATACGCTCAATGTTTTCCTTAGTTAACTCATGCATTTTTAAAATCAATTCAGCATGTTGTTTAGCATCAAAATTAACCTTCTCCGAAGATGGAAGAGGCAACAAATCAATAGGTGCACGAGGTAGGAAACCATACACAACTTCAAAAGGGCACATCTTAGTAGTAGAATGCAATGAACGATTATAAGCAAATTCAATATGAGGCAAGCATTCCTCCCACATTTTCTTATTATTCTTCAAAACAGCCCTAAGCATAGTAGACAACATTCTATTGACTACTTCAGTTTGTCCATCAGTTTGGGGGTGACAAGTAGTACTTCAGTTTGTTCAGTTTCTAACTCCCAAGTAAGATATATATCAGGAACATATCTACCCTCAAATGGTGGAATATTCAATTTCAGTTTAGGAATATGGACATCATCTCGTACCTGAGGTGGTGGTGCAGGCCTACCATTACGAATATATACCTGAGGTCGACCTGCTGGTGGTGGTGCTGGTGGCTGCTCGTAGATCTGATTTTGATCAACCTCATCCTCATAATCGCCCGCATACTCATCATCCTCCTGGGTACCAGCAACAGCAGTAGCAGGAGCCACAGAAGTATCAACAGCAGCACCAACAGTTTGGCCAAACGCAAGAGGAACACGGCTCGCTCGGCGAAGGTCTATTTCGCGACGTGGAGGTAGTCGTTGTTGTTGTTGTTGGAGAGGTGCGTTAGGTGCAGTGGGTGGTGGTGGTGGAAGACGCGCGAGCAATTCATTAAATCTGTTATCGAGCTTTGTTTCGAACGTCTTCTCAAGGCCAGTGATCTTCTCCATGGCCTCTTCAAAATTGTTCAGCACATCTTGCACCTGTTCAGTCATCATTTGCTGAAACTTATCATGAAGCTCCTTGTTCGATAAATTCTCCCAGTCAATCTCGTCGGCTTGTGATCCTGGCATGGTTAGCAGCAATAGAAACACACAAGAATATGATCCTACAGACTACTAAGAAGTGGTGGTGGTGTATCACAAATCCGTCAAGCAAATCTCAAATTCTTACCAGTTCTTACCCAGCAGCAGGCGGTGATCGGCAACCGTTGTAGTCAAAAACTCTCAAAGCTTGGATAGAGCGATTACCAGGGAGAGTCGAACACACGACGTAGATGTATGTGGAGCTGGGAAGGCTTATAGTATGGTAGCAAAAAGGGTCAGCAATAATCAATTCAGAGATGCAAAGTTGAATAAACGCTCAACGACGGTACTGTGCTGGTCCTAGGCTAGACTGTGCTAGAGACGCGAGCCTAGAACACCAACAAAATCACGGCGCGGCACGTAAACAAGGGAAAAGCACACTCTGAATTTTTTTTTTCGCTTTTTTTTTTGCGCTCTTTTTTTTTGCGCTGCTTTTTTTTTTGCGAAAAATCACTATAATGGCGAGTGTCTCAAAACTCTTCCTAGCTCAAACGGACAGGATGGGCACGAAATTTTTTTCGACCAATTTTTTTTTTTTGACTGCCCGGACCCAAAAACTGGAAACGGGTCAAAAAAAACTTCCTATAATGGCACCTGTCTCAAAACACTCAGAAACACCTAAAAATAGGATAGCCAGAAATTTTTTCGAAAAATGCGTGTTCGAAAAATTTTGGGCCTAAACGGAGCGTGGCTACCCGACTCTTTTTTTTTTCTTTTTTTTTCTTTTTCCGAAAGCTACTCCGGCAAGGAAACACGAATCGGAAACTAGATGGATCTCGAAAACAAACCTAATAAGCAAGGAACTCGGGTTGGTGGTGGATATATGGTGGTGGTATATGGCAGCGGTGGTGGTAGCGGTGGTAGTATATGGATATGGATATGAATCGGTGGTGGTATATGAATCGGTGGTGGTATATGGATACGGATTCGGAGCGGTGGCGGATAAGCGGTGGTGGTAGATGGCAGGGGCGATGATGATGGTGCGGCGGCGGCGTGACAACTTATGACCAGAACTCGAAACTCTAAAAGACTAGACTCTAAGACCAGCAACTAGACGCGACGATGCAACCGCAAATTCAACAAAGCAAAACCCTAAAAAGATTATGCAAAGGCTCAGATTGGTTCGGATATGATGAACTAACCCTAATTTTTTTGTGGCTTTTTCGTGGACTGTAGGTATGAAGAACAGACTCGATCTAAACTACGAAAAACTGTAAAATCTCACCGAGCAACCTGGAAATCTGATACCACTTGATAGAGGCAAAGGTGTCCCGTCTTTCGATGAGATGATGGATATCGCTTTGGTGGCAGTCGACTTTGACGATCCGACTACGAACGTGCGAGGACGTCGCGCCTTAGCAATCGCTAAACCAACTCCAAGAGGTTATTGACCACGCCGGAGCACGATCAACCTGACCACGAGGGTCTGTTTCCTGCGAGCAAACAAAGAACAAGCAAGAAACTGAGATTGCAATCTGGATATTGCGAATATAAGATGAAAGCTTTATTGATCAAGGTGGGGTTCTGTGATGCCTTTGTCTGGTCGTTGAACACAAACGAAGTACGCGAAGTTGCAGCTATGGCAAACTTTTAATCTAAACGAAACCCAAAGTCTAAACGATGCCCTAAGGGCTGTATATATGGAGGAAGAGGGGGGAATTTCGTGGCCCTTGGTGGAGGGGTCCGAAATCAACCCTATCTCTTGTTTCCCCACACATACGGACTCTAAAAATAGCCTATACTTATGTATTTCGAAATTACATGGGCCTGGCCCAATAATAAGGTGACGCAGCACCTAAAATAGCCTCGGGACGAAATTTATGAAGTGGCATCTTGTATATTTCGTCCAAGGCTTCATGCACCCATTATGGTGGCTTCAAAGTCCTGAAATCATCACTTGTAACTCCGTTCTTATTCCCCTTGCGCATGCCATCATCTCCATGCTTGTTCTTGCTCCAATGTTCATCCTTCTCCAAGCTAGGCCCTTCATTTGTAAGCAAAACAAATGTATCCAATTTAGGCAGCATCATATTCTCATGAACATTAGAATCATTACCAAGAAACGAAAGTACCTGGTAATTTAGTTGGCGTGCACGAGCTCTAGTAATTGGTCCAGTATGTATAGCAGCAGGGGTTGTGGGTGTAACAATTGTATTGATGTCCTCATCACCAAGTGGATCTTCTACAAGAGCTCATGCACGTGCTATTCAAAACAGGAGACATCTCACATCTTTGAGCCTTCTATGCATTTGAATGAGATATGGCTTCTACCTCAAAATGGAACTCTATGCGTGCTTAGGCACAATGGCATTGACGCTAAAGAAGCAGAGAAAAAGGACTACCCCTCGGAGCAGTGATACTAGAAGAGGAACCCTGAAGATGAAGGCACAGAAGGTCAAGCGAACCAAGCGCCTAGGAGGTCCCCTGGAGTCTCCGGACCAACCTCCAAGCCAAGCGTGCAAACCTTTGTTGCCCCCAAACCCTGCCCCGGAGGTGGTCGGGAGACACCGTACCACGGACCCCATCAAGACCAACCACCCGGCGGGGTGCAAAGCTACTAATGCCCTTGACCCTCCGAATCCTGGACCCTGCCTACAAGCAATGACTTGGGTGCAGCCCGTGTATCCTCTCCTTCCCACTTTTCCCTCTGTGGCCTAGACTATAAATACTCGTCTCCTACCTCCTCACTAGGGTTAGCGAAGTGTATTAGACAAACTAGAAGAAGACTTTGCTCGTCTATCCTCTCCATTGGAGATCTAGACCTCTAATTGGAGAAGAATCCCAATGGATCATCTAGACCTCTAATTCAAGCCCCCATCTCCCTACTGGATTGGGAAGAACCTACACTTGTTGCTACTTCCCTAGTTGCTATTGGATCTTATGTATCTTGTGAGGACTTGAGGAGTGGATGTGTAATTTGGATCTTGTCTTGTGTTCATCTTTTTCCACCTCCAAGTTGTGAAAGATTGGGAACCTAAGGGATTGGCCGTACATCACCTAGTCTAGCGAGGAGACATTTCGGTTTTCATCCAGTTTTCCTCAGTATACCAAGTAGCCTTTTTTCCATTCTTCTTTTTTGGCACTCTCTTTTATGCGGTGCATTCCTCCTTTCGAATGTTCTTGTAATATTTGGCAGCTGTCCTGCCCACATTCAAAAATGTAGAATGACAACCCACTCGGAACAAGCCAAGCTCTATACAAGCTTTATATGTCAAGCCTGTAGATCTTAACAGGTCTTTGATTCCAGAGAACACATTTAAGAAATAGTCTTTAAACCATATAGAGCATTCCTGATAACAATCACCCCTTTAATTATTTTAGAGCATAGTTGGAATTAACATTGTTCCCCAAAGGAAGACATTGACAAGCAAATGAATTAAGGACAGATCGAGACAGTATCCTGGTTGAACCAAATAAAACAGACTACAATAAACAGATCAGGTATTGTTCCGATTACATGGATACAAAAGAATAGACCAAAACATGCATCTATTATCTGTCGACATACATTCGCAAGTATACAAACAGAACTAAATGTAGACCAACCACTTATAGCGTACCATCTGGATCTGCTATTGGCGACCCTTTTTATCGACTCTTACAAGGGTGTGCATTGTCGTAGCGAGGGTGCCACAGATTTTGCAAGAATTGACACACATCATCTGATCTTGAACACCCACAGTGGCCAGACAACTACGACGAACCAGAAACTCCAAACGTTTGATAATGATACCACCAGCTTATCTGATAGTTGGAATTGAGGAAAAACAGAGTATTTATCACTTGATATTGCCACAGCTCATGAAGTTCCAAAGGACAGAATCATGGAAACTTGGATACTGAACAACATGATATTACGAAGTCAGCTGAGACTACGAGAATCAAGATGTACAAAATTATGAAGGATAACAGGACAGTGATATATAGAAATGGGAAATAACAACGTACAACTTGTTTCTTCACTCCAAAGATTTGAGCAGACGGAATAAGCCAGCCGCTTCCCTTATTCGTGAGAACTCTATGCAGAACGCCTGTACCTCAATGAAAAGATCTTGAACTGCATGTAGAAAACAATGCACAACCATAACTAACGTCTCATGGCATTTAAAAATTGTGAACTGCAACCACTTCAGCTGATGACTTCAACTAGCACTAGCTGGCCCAAAACTAATTATGTAAATACAGTTTATGCTTCTTTCACTAAGAGGGCATCTGCGATTCCCAGAAAATAGGTCAGCTCTTGTCAGAAACAGGGAAAATTTCTACGAATCAAAGAGGCCGTAAATGCAGAACAAAGAAAATATTATTTCATGTAAAAACTGAATACAAGATTTATCTAACCATTCCAAAAGTAACTCGGTTTTACCTAACCATGCAAACAATTAGCACGTGGTTTTACAGATCTACCCAGTATCAACAACATTTCTAGCCACTATGATTTTTCGAGCTCGGAGGCACAATATGGAACTTGATATCCAGTTCATCCAAATGGTTTTTTTATCAAACTCTAATGGTAATTGACCAAAATCAGGTAACCACTAGCTGAAAAATCACTCTATTATGCACGACACTCTTGATGCACGATGATAAGAATGGAAAATCAATTTGATCAAATCAGTAAAAAAACATTTAGAAAAAATGATAAAGCATTTTAGTACAACATGCAACAACAACAACAAAGCCTTTAGTCCCAAACAAGTTGGGGTAGGCTAGAGCTGAAACCCATAAGATCTTGAAAGCAACTCATGGTTCTCGCACGTGGATAGCTAACTTCGGCACCCCTTTCCATGGCTAGTTCTTTGGTGATATTCCAATCCTTCAGATCTTTCTTTACAGACTCCTCCAATGTCAAGTTTGGTCTACCCCAACCTCTCTTGAGATTATCAGCCTGCTTTAGCCGTCCGCTATGCCCTAGAGCTTTTTGGGGCCTACGCTGAATATGGCCAAACCATCACACACGATGTTGGACAAGTTTTTCTTCAATCAGTGCTACCCCAACTCTATCCCGTATATCATCATTCCGGGCACGATCCTTTATTGTGTGGCCATACATCCATCTCAACATGCGCATCTCCATTACACCTAACTGTTGAACATGTCGACTGTTAGTCGGCCAACACTCAGCGCCATACAATATTGCGAATCGCTGTCCAACCTGCCTTTTAGCTTTTATGGCACTCTCGTCACGAAAACGCCAGAAGCTTTGGCGCCACTTCATCCATCCGGCTTTGATTCAATGGCTCACGTTTTCATTGATATCACCATCCTTCTGCAGCATTGACCGCAAATATCGAAAGGTGTCCTTCTGAGGTACCACCTGCCCATCAAGGCTAACCTCCCCCTCGTAAGTAGTACTAAAACCGCACCTCATGTACTCAGTTTTAGTTCTACAGCCGAAAACCTTTTGATTCCAAGGTTTGTCTCCATAGCTCTAACTTTCTATCAACCCCTGTCCGACTGTCCGACTATCATCGACTAGCACCACATCATTGCAAAGAGCATACACCATGAGATATCTCCTTGTATATCCCTTGTGACCTCATCCATCACCAAAGCAAAAAGATAAGGGCTCAAAGCTGTTGTTCGAACACCTGTCACAACATTATCGTACATGTCCTTGATGAGGGTAATGTACATTGTTGGGTCTTTGTGTTTTTCTCCAAGGCCCACCACATGACATTTCGTGGTATCTTATCGTAGGCCTTCTCCAAGTCAATGAACACCATATGCAGGTCCTTCTTTTGCTCCTTGTATCTCTCCATAAGTTGTAGTATCAAGAAAATGGCTTCCATGGTCGACCACCCAGGCATGAAACCAAACTGATTTTTTGTCACGCTTGTCATTCTTCTTAAGCGATGCTAATGACTCCCATATGCATGGATTCTAAATTCCGTAAGGTGCTCTATCTTAGATATTTGATCCATGCTTTTTATACCAAGAGGACAGAAATATATATTTTATAACTAAATGCAAAACCGGCAAGTAGCTAAAGAAAATGTGGATTTTCAACATACTGTACGAGTACAGGAATAAGGCTAAATAAACAAACATCAATTACCTACAACGATGTGCAGTGCAAGAAAGAATGTCAGATAGAATTGTGGAAGCATAGCTGTGCAATAATCATTTATATGAAGTAAAAGTAGAGGTGGGGCAGCAGGGGTACAGTTCTGTTATCATACTCTTGAATCATTATGGATCAGGAAGGCAAAATTAAATAGTTAATAATCAATGAGAACTCAATAATATAAATGACAGTGTATAGATTAAAATCTCTGTAAAGCACACAGAACATGCTCACCGTTAATAATCTGATTTCGGATGAGGCTCTGGAGGAAAACACAAACCAATCTCACCAGTCTGTTCTGCATGTACTTATCCTGCAAGGAAAAATGATTGTACGTAACGAATTTGGCGATATTTGAATCTTTACCAAGTGACATGACCGTTACAAAATCATTAGCCTCTAAGCGAACAAAGATTTTCTTATGAGTAAACAATGTTTAATAAGTACACAAATTATTCATCAGTGATGCAAAAAGTAGAATAAGAGCTGCCAATTACACATGGGTTAGCAAAAATAGCTGTCAATTATGCAAGCATTTAACTCACAAAACAAGACAGTGGCTTATTCAGTTACTCACATGGGCAAAATAACCTGAACTACTCTCTGTGTACCACAGTAACTAACCACATCCCAATATGTGCATAGACAAGGAATCATTAAATATATTAACTTACATAACACAATAGCCTAGCCACTTTCGAAGCATTCAAGTAGGCGCAAAGACTGGAAATATAGCAATAACCTCTCCTTTGATTTTCTTTTTCCATGGAAAACAAATTTCAAACGGTTCAAAGCGAATGTCCTGAGGCCGATGACAGTAATAGTGAAATAGAGGGAGTGACTGAATAAAAGCTAATCAACATGCCAAGGTTTAATATCCCCATGGGAAAATGCAAATAAGGTTAAATTGTGTAACTATAGGCTCGAATCTTTACCTCATAATAAAGTAAAGAAGATTTCATAGTTCTCCATATGTTGATTTCTTGATATATTTTTACTATTCAAGGTGGTACTATCTGTTTCGCTGCGTTTGATGTTCGATTTTCGTTGTCCTGTATCCATGCTCAAAATTGAGTCCGTCGTAGATTGATTGTACATCGAATCGAATAATCCCACCTTGCTTCAATGAATCGAATCTCACCAATTCAAATACGTCCCAGGTTATCCCTTGCATCAACCAGCCTCGTCAAGAATCAAGAAAAACACATGAGAACAGTGAAGAGGCCGATAAGAAGCACAGGCAAAGGCTGGACCGTGGTCTGCTCAAGAAGAGATTGGTGGGGTGGTCGAATGCCACGGCGGGGCCAGAAGATGAAGGCGCGCGGGAGACAAGGCAGCGACGAAGGTGGTCAGAGGAGGGTACAGGGGCTCAAAGTTCTGGCGCAGGTTGCCGACGCCACAGCTACAGGAGGCTAAGCCGGCGCTCGGGGCGACCAGACAGGGGAGGTGCTGGCGCAGCGAAGAGCTCGCCGGCCAACGCTGCGGCTACAGGAGGCGACGCAGTCGCTCGGGATGCCGGCCAGAGGTTGTGGAGGGTGTGCTAGCGGGGTAAAGAGCTTGCCGGCGAGGCTAAGGAGGTGTGAGGCGCACGATCTCTGCGCGGCTGTGCGGTGCGTGTGTGGCGGCACGTGAGGGAAGAGACGAGGGAGGGAGTGAGGATCAGGCTTTTTTTTAGGAAGTGGGGATCGGGCTATTTTTAGTGGGAGCTAGCTGGGCCTGGTGGGCCCGTTCCCAAAGGCTTAGGGAGAGAGAAAAGATTTGGTGCCGGCCCAGTCAAACAGAAAAAACAGTTTCCATATTTAAAAAAACAGAAAACAAAAGAAAAAACAGAAAATGGAAAAAGGAAAAAGTAGGATCCACAAATTACAAAAACATCCATAACTTTATTATAAATTACAACACAAATGTTTGGAAGGTTCGAATTTAATTCAAATTGGCAACATGACAAGTAATACAAAATCCAATTCACGCAAACATCCATAACTTTATTACAAAGTACAAATAGGTAATGGGCTGTTATGACATTGAAGGGGAGGAGGCCGTATATATGCACGCGTAAGATATATTTTCTATGCAAAGCTTTTTTTTTACTCCGTGTGTACCTGATCAGAGTTAATTGCAGCTGATGGTGGTTTCTTTGTTTGGTGACATGAGTCACATGACCAAACACGGCAGTTAAGAATGCTTGGGGAGGCGACTTGGGGGCTTGGGGCGGATCGCACGCGACTGGTTGATCGGCCTTCATGCGGCCACGATAAATAGATGTATAAACTCTAAATTTGTGAGGTCTGCTTGAGCTAGAGCTTTGTCATCTATGCAACATATATATGTATTTAGATCTACAATACATATATATATATAGTGTTACTATTCATCACCCAGGGTGCAGAAAAAGTTATTCTTCACCCGAGGTAATCTTACGATCATTTCATAAATAAATTATGTTTCAAATATAAATAGTTACGGTCATATTGATTCATTGTGTAAAATTTGGCATAAAAAAAAGGGCAGAATACCTATGTTTTTACATTTGTAATTTACGTAATATAAAATATTTTTTACGGCAATTATATATTTTCTTACGTTCTCTTTTTACGTCTAAAATAAGACAAAATTTACGAAACGTAAAATTACGGTGCATTGATGTTAAAATAGAGGGGGGGTGAAGAATAACTATATATATATGAAGCACATATGCCCGTGCGTTGCAACGGAGGGAAAATAGTATGCATTTAAAGTTAGTGAGAATTATATGTGCAAGCAAAACCCTATGTGCACATGAAAAAGGAACATTTAGCTTCTCGGTTTCGCCTGGTGTGAAATAACCAATCGCTATTTTTCCATTCATTGATCGAGGGCATTTAAGAGTTTTGTTACGTCCCCTGTTCAAGAATTCATCCGATTAACCAGCTAACTTGCCGATTAATCCCTACTCGTAGGGTCACCGAGTAGCCTATAAACCGATAAATCATCCGATTAATTGATTAAATAGCCGATTAACTTGCCAATTAGCGGATTAATCGCCTACTCACCAGCCAACCGAGCAGCTACCAGTTAACGATTTCCTCGACAATGGTTACGTCGTCGTACGCCAGAGAAGGCCCATGAGTTATTCAATCTACTTTTCCTTTCAATTGAGGAGATTTAAAGGTATGAAGTTTCTGAATATTGTAGGAAACATAAACCATTTTTTAAATCCTGAACAGTTTTTTGAAAATGATGTACACTTTCAGAAAAACGCAAACAAAAATTGAAACGGGAACATCTTTTAAAATTCACGAACATTTTTTGAAAACACAACCTTTTTCATAAAAATTAGCACGTGCCCACAAATTTTTTTTCCATTATAGCCTACCAGCATATTGTCTTTTATTGGCACGTGCAAGTTACCTCCGGCAATAATTTGTGGAGTCCCTCGTTCTGCTCATGATTCTCGAGACAACTTCCTTATTCTCACACAACCTCCTTATTTCCGGACAACTTAGAGACTTATAAAAACTGGTGTGATTTAGTATAAAATTCCAAGATGGGACTGTTCCTATCATAATTGCAAGCTAGCTGAGTTGGTTTTATCTGTCGGCATAATAGGGAAGGTTCATAGTTCAATCCCCTCATGCCCTTTATCTTTTGCTGCTCGTCCGTCCGAAAGAAAAAGAAACACGTGGTAGGTCCAGTTTGGCCCACCCCAAGGATAACCGAAATAATTAGGGAACTACGTGTAGAATAGACGGAACAAAATCTATACATATTTTTTTTTCATTTCTTAGGGCAGCTGCGTGGGAGCTACTATATGACGCTAGTTGCGTCAAATAGCGCATGGGATGCACAACAGTTAGCGTCTGGGCCAGCCCACTGGCAGGCACCAAAATAACATGTGTTTGCAAGGCACGAGTAATAATCCAAAAAAATGACGTGTTGAACGATTGAACACATGACCTTAAAGACCCGACCATGTGCCACTAGCCACGGCAACAAACGCCTACTGCTAACCAATGGCCAGCGCGAATATTTAAGCAACGTCGGATTTAAAATATTTTTTGAACTTTTTTAAAAATATGAATTGCTAAATATTCTTAGAAATGTGAGCATTTCTTGAAATTACAAACAATGTTTTAATATCCTGTCCATTTGGAAAAAAACATGAACAAAATTTGAAAAAATTCGTTTTCTAAAGACATCGACCTTTTATCAAAACCCAAATATTTTTTTAATTTGTGACCGACTTTTGAAAGTGGACATGTTTTGAACATTCTGAACAATTTTATAAATTGTGTTTTTAAACGCAGACATTATTTTGAATCTGTGAACATTTTACTAAAACAATAATATATTTCAAATTTTGATTATTTTTTAAAATACATGTTTTTTAAATCCCAAACAATTTTGTAATATTTCTGAATCTGAAAAAAATTGGAACGAGAAAATCAATTAATTTTCTAAACATTTTTAAAAAGGGGAAGACAATATTGTAATTCGAAAATTTGACAAAAATTCAAATTCTGAACTTTTTTTTGAATTACGAAATAAGGTAAAAATAAAAATAAATTTGGACAAAAAAACAAAACAGGCCGGCCAGTCTTGGGCGCCCTGGGTGAACTCCAACTATCTACCGCATAGGGCGAGAAATAGGCCTTTTGCGGCTACATGGGGAACGGATGAAAAACTGGAGAAACGCACCTTGCTTTATTAGTAAAAAAAAAGGTATAGCTATAGATTAGACTAGAAGAACAGTGAAGAGATGGATAGCACGCCGACGAGTTAGTTGACTGACTTGTGAGGAGTTAGTGAGAAAATACTAGAAGATTATGTATTTATTTCATACTCCCTCCGTTCCTAAATATAAGTCTTTGTAGAGATTTCACTATAAACCGCATACGGATGTATATAGATGCATTTTATGTTTAGATTCATTCATTTTGCTCCGTATGTAGTCCACCTAATAGAATCTCTACAAAGACTTATATTTAGGAACGGAGGGAGTACAATACTAGGTATAATAGGCCAGTAATTTCCCCATGCATGCGTTTTAGTCTATGAAGCAGATTTTTTTTAACATAATCACATTGTTTTGCTGCTTTGATGATTGATTTTCGTACATGTAAACAACCATGTAGTTATTTACTGTTAGAGTTCATGCACAAGCAAAAGGTTTCACTTAGATTCACCTTATTATTGTCTTAGTTGTTGCCTCCATTATTTACTGTTGGGAAGCCTGAATTTAGTGTTCAAGGAAAAGGCAATGTACATATGTTTTTGGATAAACATATGACTACAAGTCAGAAGTTGTTATAGACATGCAACAGAAGATTTCATTGCATCAAGCAAACAAACTTCAAATGTGCATGTCACTTATTTTTGGATACCCGTTACTGAAATCACCCCCCCCCCCACACACACACACACGCACACACCCCTATAGTTGACCTCTTATGCTG